AAAAAAAAAAAAAAAAAAAAAAAAAAAAAAAAAGACATGCAGCCCCTGGTTGGCTTGAACTGGCTAAGTAGCTAAGGACAGCCTTGAACTCCTGAGGCTCTTGCTTCCACCCTTTCTGAGTACTTGATGATACATGTGCAGCTGACAATTTCTTGAAAAACATTTCTTTGGGGCTGGAGAGATAGCTAGTGGTTAAAAGAACCGACCGCTCTTGCAGAGGACCAGGTTAGGTTCAAAGTATCCACAAAATGCCTCACAACTGTCTGTTCTAGGGGGTCTGTCGCCCTCTTTTGGCCTCTGTGAGCACCCAGCACTTATGTGATGCACATTCAGGCAAAACACATAAAAATATTAAAATAAAAATTTAAATAAGATTTTTTTGATTAAATAAATTACATACGAATTTATTATGTATGTGGGAGATGGAGAGATGACTCAGAGACTCAGAGGTTGAGAGTACTGACCGCTCTTCTAGACATTCTGAGTTCGATTCCCGGCAACCACATGGTGGCTCACATCCGTCTACAATAAGATTTGATACCCTTTTCTGACATGTAGGCAGTACATAATAAATAAATAACTCTTTAAAAAGAATTTTACATTGTATGAGTGTTTGCTTGCATGCATGACTGTGCACCACGTACATGCTTGGTGCCCAAGGAAGCCAGATGAGGGCGTCAGATGCCCTGGAAAACTGTAACTACAGAGGGTTATGGGTCACCATGTGGGTGCTGAGAACCTAACCAGGATCCTTGCAAGAGTAACCAGCGCTCTTAACTGCTGAGCCATCTTTCCAGCTCCTTCACAACGATCCTGCTGTACACTATACATCCTCCTACAGCAGGTTGGCCAGCCTCAGAGCCTGAACCCTGCTACGCCTGCAGACCCTAGACCGAGGATCGGCCTTCCTCCAAGGGGACGACGAAGCCAGAGGAATGACCAGCATTTTTCAGTAGTTGAGGGCGAATTCCCTCGCATGCGCGACCTTGGAACCCCCCCCCCCCCCCCCCCCGTCCCAAGATCCTCTCGGGTGCGGACTCCAAGCTCTGCACTCCTGCCCCCACCCACCCCTAGAAGTTGGTCCTGCGGCTTCAACCCCGCTGACCGTGAACAGCTAGCTGCGTGCTTAGACAGACTGAGCTTCCTGCCGTTCCAGCTAGGTCTCTCTATCCTGTAGTCAGAGCCTCACCCCATCCAGGCTCTTCGCTCCTTCTCTTTCATGCTCCGCACCTCCTCCTCTCCCGGGCCCGTCACCCCGCCCCCTTCCACCCAGCTTCAGCGCCCTCGCCCCCTTCAGGTCCCGCCCCCTAGGTTGAGCACCCCTCCAAGGCAGGCCCCGCCCTATCTAGGCTTAGCATTTGGGTCTTCCCGAGGAGGCCCTCCCCCACCCAGGCCGACTTCATCCCTCTGGGACTCAGCATACTGCCTCCTCCTAGGCAGGCTTGGTTCCACCCAGGTGAAGCACGGTGTCCCTACAATGCTCCCCACCCTCCTCCGTGCCTGATGGGTCTTCCTCCAGCAGGGTGTGTATATGCTTGCTCTGGATCACGGCCAGGTGAAGGGCAGAGGCACCAGTGTGAAGCTGGCAAAGCCACTCTGCTAGCT